CCAAATTTTTAAAGAGTACAGATACTAATATTGTCGATATAGTTCGTTTATTTCATTAAAAGAATATAAAAAAACTGTTTAAATATTTGTTAAAGAGGACCAATTAATATGATTCCAGTATTCAAACTACATTAATTGACTGTTTGCGTTGATTAATAATAATTGCTCCAAATACTAAAAAACTGAATTATGTATGTGTATTAGACAGTGTGGTAAAAAGTAACACCTTAAAAATGATATTTAATTTTTTCACAAATGCTTATTTATAACAACAGAGACGTTCATTTTCATAACTTATTATTATATTGATTTCTGATTCAAATCCACATTCATTTAGAATAATGTGTTATTAACGAACACAATTAAGTATGTAGTTAATTAGTATTTGGGCGGAAATACTGGTGGTCTATTTAATTAATGGTATACTCTTTTATAAAGATTTAAATAGTTTTCTTTTTGCATACAAATGGGGCTACTAATATTATCGTTTTACTAAAAACGATAATATTACTAGCCTGTACATTTTGTACATTTGTTGTTTTAAAAACAATCTAAAATGTCAATATTCCATGGATATATTGATAAATGAGGTCTAAATTATAAGAAAATGCATTTTCTACGAAAACTTGAAGGAATAGGTAAGAAGTAGTATAATACAATTTGATAGACAATTGAATTGTGCACCTGATTCTCATAAAATATACAGGGTGTTCTATTTAAATTAAATAAGTTATTGCCGTTTAAAGCTAGTAATTATTTTAAAAAAAATTTAGACACTCTGTATAAGGTAGTATAATTTTTATTATTGCAACACAATAACTGATCAATAAATAAACTTCAGTAAATATTTAGTATTAAAAACTTTGATATCCTCGGAGAAATGAAGCCTTAAAATTTATACTGCAATTTCGCAAAATTGAAAATATTTCAAAAACGGTAAGGTTTAATGGTCATAAACCTTAATCAAATTTACCTTTATTTTAATCGTAGAAACTAAAAATGCAATAATATACAGGGTGTTCCATTTAAAAAAAATACAACTTTGATAGTTTTTATTTATTTGGGACACTCTGTATCTCGTAAAAATATTTTTAAATTGTAGCTGTAATAGTCCTTCAACGAACTCCAAACTTACAATTTGTAAAAATATCATCGTTTAGCTACAACACTCCGTGTCGTATGTGGTGAACAACCCTGTATAAGCCCTTTTAACAAAATTTAAATAATTTTATTCTTGAGAATGTCGTACTATAATAATTAGTATTTCAAACGTTTACAATATTTATGCTGTAAGTACGATATTATAGTTGTACTAAATAAAAATAATGAATATAAATAACCGCTGTGACATGCTCTTATCAAGAAATTTGATTAAGCAGGCCATATACACATTTACGATTGCTCTTAGTGTTATTGTTTATTGTCTTTGACTATTTATATCTTGCGAAATACTAATTTTATAAAATATTTCAATTACATAAACTGTGACAAAATATTTACCAGATTAAAAATATCATAACTCATGACCTGTTCAATTATATTTATTTATAATCGCATGTATAAGTATGAATTAATTTTGTTTACTTATTAGTGTTTTTGAAAACTTTTATCAATGCCCCAACTAACATAACTTTAGAAAACCATAGTGAGATGATTCTTGCATGCACATATCAATTAACTAAGCCTATTTAGAGTGACCATCAAATAGTTTGCAACAATTGGAAAAATATGTTATCAAGTCATTTCAAAACAGATGATTATGCCTGACCAATAAAAAAATAATTTTATCATTGTCAGGTCCCAAATGTCATAGAAATTATATAATTTTCACAATTCAGAATACAGTTACCATGTTGTAATGGATAATATAAAATAATAACTTGAATCCGGTGTTTAACCTTAGTAATTTTTTGTTATTTTTAATATAAAATTCAATTAAAGTGATTAAAAAGTACTCCCTCAATACAAAAAGAAATGCAACAAAGTTTGCCTTTACAATTTTTACAATTAAGGAATAAATAATAAATCAAATTCAATACAAATTTCACTGGTTCGAAATGAAGCGTAGAAAATTGTGACGTCACCTATTAGCATTTGAGTGAATAGTTGACAGAGGGCGCGAGCCTCTGAAGAATGATATTATAGCGTGTCTACTTCTCTGCTACCGTGTTTACACCATATATCTTAAAATCACGTTAGATTCTATTCTTTATTACCCCAATATTAAATTTACTTATAAAGCTAATAAGTAATACTATAATTAACAGGTTACTAGGTGCCCGGTGGCGTAGAGGTACAGGCTCTCGTCTACCAATCTGAAGGTAGTGGGTTCGAATCCCACACCCGGCATTTCATCAGCCGACTATTTTTATTAAAATAAAAATAGTTTGGGTACCTAGGTCGACTCAGCCTTAAATGAGTACTTGGGATTCACAATCCTGAGGTAATTATAGGCGGTTGAAGCGTAGTGCTAGCCACATTACCTTTCTTGAATACCGAACGGCTCTAGTATGGCAAGCTGTACCTTGCTACTCCCAAGGCGTTAAACGCTATACACGGGAGCTATTATTATTATTATAACAGGTTACTGCCATTTTTATCTAAGCACTAAACACTACCAAAGCTGTTCGGATGTTCGAGGCGTTCGAGGGTTCGAGGTTAGATTTGTATTTTGTGGATTTGGCGTTTTGCGTTAAATATTTTGTGTTTTCAATTTTGTTTTATTGTACCCTCTTTATTATTTTTGTAATGAAAGGTGTTAAAATTTGTTTTGTAAAGGGCTGTCTAAATAACTCTGAAGGCTCTCCAGAAAAGGTTTTTATAACTGTTCCTTTGGATGAAAGCCGTCGAAGAGCCTGGTTTGAAGCGGCAAGACCACAATATGTCAGCAAAAGTACGAGATTTTGCTGTGAAGATCATTTTAACTAAGTTCCTTAAGTTTTATTTTACAATTAATTTTATATCTACTTTAAAATACATTTAGAAAAATGGTTTTTATTTACCTTTGTACCTGGTGGCAAACTGTGACACTTTTGATAGGTGACGTCAGAGATTGCAAAAGTGTAAATTTGAAATTCTTAATATTGATTAATTAAAAAAAAATGGGATGAAATTGAAGTAAAATAAAAAAATACGGGTGTCATAAAATTGTATGAAGATTAATTATTTGTAATAAAAAAACTATGGTTAAACTACGGATTGTCGCACTGAAAATTATTGAACAATTTAAATAATTGGATTCTCTACTTTAGAGGAAAAAAAGTGTGTGTTAGTTGAAGTTTTCTTATTTTATAGGCCGATGCAAGAGGAAATTCAGTATTTTTAAATTAAGAGAAGTAGAAGAGAATTTTTTTGCTTGGAGGGCATTTAAAAATTGTCAAACGAGAAATATAATGCTGGACATCTTTGCTCTTTGATACTTTTCGATACATTTTCATCTAATCCCAGTTTTTATGTGTTTAAATAAGAATTTGTTTATTTGGTCCTATAACAGTTATGACATATGTCAAAATTCGTTTTAATATATGTCATGTTAGAACATGTTTTTGAGCAACTTTGTTTTTGGACCTGCTGATCTGATCCCACCATGGGTTTAAGATAATGTAATAACTCCCTTTATTGCAAACTGTTTCGTGGTTACCTACATCATCATGTTATAAACTCAATTTTTAAAACTGTAGATTCAAAAAATATAACAATTTTATTTAATGCAAACTGAAATTACTAAACAACACGTAACCAATTGATATCTTACATTTAACAGTTATTAAATATTTTGACAATTTGCTGATAAAATTTTCCATTAACATGAACATTCATAAATCTATTCTATGAATAAAATATAGTATTTAGTTTTAAATTACTTTTAACAAACATTTACTTCGTTAAGTTACTAATCTCATCGTCAAAGATAAATAAATAATTCGTCCAATAGCGTTGTCTATATAACCGCGTTTAACCCTGTCCGAAAAATTCACGGGTGAACAAATATCATGAAAAGACTTTTAGGTTTTTCCCCACTAGAAGAAAATCTACAAAATAAAACCTCCACGTTTTTTTTGTCCCACGTTGGGCGCCAAAATTTGACACGCCTCTGTGAATCGAAAAAAATTCAAAACTAAATTCAAATAGGCAAAGCTCGTCACGTTATTTAGGACGTTGCCTCTCCAATCTCCTTCAAAATAAAAATAAATTTAGGAAAAAGTTCAACTTCGGTATACCGGGTGCGTCTCAAAAGTGGCTCACCCCTGTAACGTTTTTATTTTTTCAAATAAATAAACGAAATTTGGTACGTCAGTATTTGACATAAATTAGTATTGGCTGACGCATTCACTTGTTTTTGGCCACTTCCTGTTTTACCGGAAATAACTACAACTTTTGATTTGTAAATAGCAGCCTCGGTATTTTTTTACTTTACTTAGTATTCGATAGAAAATGTAACTCTGAATAGAATGACATATCATATGTCAACTTTTGACATTTTCGCTTAAAAAATAATATTTTAAATTCCGATCTAGAGTGCCATGGCTGTGTTAAAAACACTATTTTTTAATCAAGGAGCTTTGGAAAAATAGATTTCATCATCTAATGTTTTCGTGTCTTACCCTGGTCGGTTAAAAGATACTCAAATCGTATTTTTAATCGTATCTCAGTTTTTTCAAATGGAACAAGAGTGGCTCATTACCATATTTGGACAAGCATTTTTTACAAATAATTTGGTACCACACACTTGGTATTTCGAATCAAATTGTCGTTAAGAAGCGCATGTTACAATTTCAAATAAACCATATGAGAAAATGTCAAAAGTTGATATATGATATGTCATTCTATTCAGAGAGTCATTTTCTATCGAATGAAGTAAAAAAATACCGAGGGTGCCATTTAAAAATCAAAAGTTGTTTTCATTTCTGGTGAAACAGGAAGTGACCAAGAACAATTGAATACGACAATCAATCCTAATTTATGTCATATACTAACACACCAAATCTCGTTTTTTATCTGAAAAAATAAAAAAGTTATAGGGTGAGCCACTTTTGAGACGCAACTGGTATTGACAAAAAAGGAGTGTTATATTATCTGATTGCAATATCAACCAACCTCTTACTTTGTAAATTTTCTTCTAATGGCGAAACACTCAAAAGTATTTTCGAGAAAGGAACCCTCCACAAGGGTAAAAAACAAATGTGTCGTAAAAAATAGACTAATTAATCAGTTGTTGTTTTTGTAGAGGTAAATATCCCAGATTGAGCCGCAGTTGTTCCAAGAACACAAAGGTGAGAATGGTTTGCGGTGCCAACCTAACGAAGGCCGGTACGTAACCCTTGAAGAAACCCATTGGTCCCAACTTAGCCGTATGCACGATTATAGCCCACAAGGAAGAGAACTCGCCGGGTTTGGCGTTCATGGCCCGAGTTTTTAACACGTCCAGAGGCTGAGTTAATGATGTGGCGATAGCACCCTGCAGAAATAATAAATTAAGTTAAAAAAAACATTACATATTGAAAGTTTTGGTTAGTTATTTAGACAATTCGGTACCTATATCGTTATATGTTTTGTAATCGATTTATTTTAGTCAATCTCGTAAAGGGTGGTCCAGTAATAGACAGTAAAGCATGACAGAAAATGTTACGTATCTCTCGAGAAGTAACGCAGAAACTTACGTTACGGCTGCTAAACTTATGTAACTTAGTAACTGTTTACTTAGATATCTTGGTGAAGTAATGTCAAAATTACATGCTGCCTTTTATAGTTCATATCAAATATACTTTTAGTCACATGATTAAGCTTGACCGGCACAGCGTTGTCCACTTTTACATATTTTCTTTTAATGAAAATATTTTAGGAAACAAAAATAAATTAATTATGGATATATAAACAGTTATTATTTACATTAAAAGAACTCAACTCCTTAACAGCACTAAAAGGACATAAAGGACCATTACTACCGCTTTCCCGTTCAAAATATTCTAATAAAATCGTGATGAGTTTTTTAAGGCTATTACGCTATCTTGTACACCTTGTTAACATGACTGCAAAGACTGCTAATAAAAAAATTTAAGCTTAAAGTATCATTAACAATTCATTTAAATCAAAAAGTCGTAATACAAAACTAAAGTATCAAAAGAAATGACAATATCAGGAAATAAATAAATTAATGTGGCAACTTGACATTTTTTACTGCAGAGCTATCACCTGAATCCCCAGCGGAAAATTTAAATTACAGTTAGTCAGCCTGGCGCCGAATATGTCCGTGATTGGCAAAAATGAATTTAAAAATCGCGCCCTCGATTACGTAACTAAAGATTTAATTGGTACTAAATATATATTCTTTAACCGTAGCGTTTAGGTGTGTGGGTTAAAAGATAATCGACAATCGGGTCACCGACATTTAAAGGTACGTTCCACCAAAAAACATTGACAAACAAACATTCGCAACTCTTTGTGAATGTTTGAAAACGTTTGCAAATGTTGGTTCGTTTCTATTTTTCTCTTTTTGAACAGGACAAGAATTCGTGAATTAACAGTGAGTTTGTGAACATTTGTCAACGATGCGGAATATTTGCACAAAATGGCTCCGCGAAAAACGAAAAACAGCTATTGTAAATGCCGCTGCTTTTATTATAATGTGTGTATTAAAAAATGAGACTATGAAAAAAAAGAAAACATAGATTTTGGACGTCACACTTCTTGAAAACAAGAAACTCAGTACAACTGATTCGTAATATAACAACAGATGATACGTAGAAGTGGCCTATTTAGGAATTTCTCTAGAATGTCACAAGAAGACTTTCAATACTTAATATCGTTAATCGGTCCTAAAATAGGTAAAAAAGATACAAAGTACAGAGACTGTATTCCTGTGGAACTGAGATTGGCATAACACTTCGGTTTTTAGCCACCGGAGATTCATACAACAGCCTATATCTCTTTAGAGTTGTACTCAGAGAGTACCCTGTATCTCTTTAGAGTTTCCAAGCCACTTATATCAAGAATTATTCCCGAGATTATTTAGCTTTCAGTACGTGACAATGTCCACTGTAGTTTCCATTTTTTCTGCTATATCACACCATGCATCATGTTTTTTAAAATTGTTGTGGTATCTAATCTATATAATGGTTTTAACAATAGTGGTTTTAATCTATATAAATCAATCAATTTCAAGTACTTTTCATTATCCCACTCCATTTTTAATTTATATCGACACAAAATGACACGTTCAAATTCAAATGGTCCCTGTTTTAAAAAAAGGTTCGTTTAAACCTGTTTCCACAGAACCCGCACAAACAGCGAATTCCTTTGATGTACCGACATCGGCCGGAACATCGCCAATCGGTTTAATGCAAACATTATGCGCACTTGGTGGAAACGCCACCTTAAGAAATACTTTATTAAACATCCTTTTTTGGGTGCTGAGGAACCATTAAAAACTACTAAAGTACATGATCTTGAAACATTATATGGAGCAAAAAATGCCCAAAAATGCCTGCTATGCCGTAGAAAATGTCAAGTTGCCACATTTATTTATTTATTTCCTGACATTTTGATTGGTTTTGAAACTCTAGTTTTGTATTACAAGTTTTTGGTTTAAGCGAATTGTGTTGTGATGCTTTAAGCTGAATTTTTTTTACTAGCAGACCTTGCAGTCGAAAATTGTTCTTTTTAAAACCACTTTTGGTGCGAAGTGTACAAGATACCGAAGCAGCTTAACAGCCGTTACAAAAAACTCATCACAACTGTATTAGAATATTTTGAGCGGGAAAGCGGTAGTAATGCCACCTTATGTCCCGTAAGTATCTTTAAGGGGGTGAGTTTTGTTGATGTAAATAATAACTGTTTATATATTTATAATCAATTGATTTTTGTTTCCTAAAATATTTTGATTAAAAGAAAATATGTAAAGCATAATCACGTGACTCAATATTTGGTATAATCTATAATTCGATTTAAACTGTTATTAATACTTAATAATAATAATATCTTTCTCAATCAAACCAAAGAGTTCATATTATTATGTTTAATACTTACGGCCATCAAGCTTGATAGAAAATGTGTGGTAAGGTTGTCGCCAAAATATCCGGAATTCAACAATGTTACTTTAATTTGATCGTAAAACGACAGTTGCCCGACGGTCATAAATACTGCTCTTGAAGATGCTGTGGTCGCTCCACTAAACAACCTTAGTATACCTTCCTCTTTGTAGACACGAATTAGTCCGTCCAAGGCATGCTTGTAGCTGAAATAAATTTATTTTAAGATGTAAACAATATCTGTGACAATTTTAAAAACTTAATAAGCACCATAGACCAATGTCACGTACTAGATATAGATGAGACACTGAAATAAAACAAATAAGTCCGTCATTTAGAGCCACCTGGTAATCCGGAAGAAACTAATGGAGAGTTTTGGCATATCATAATGTTAGCGTTAGCATATTTATTAACGCTAACTAAAACGGTAACGTTATTCAAGCGCAAAATTATTCCTTGTAAAATATAATATAATAAATATAGACTTGTTTACCATATTTTATGTTTTATTAGATCATTAGAAGTGTAACATATTCAAAACTAAAAATAAAATTATGAATACATACATTTTAAACACCAACAATAGAATAGATAGCGCCTATTTTTTGGTTTAACAAATAAATTATAATGTAGTAAAAATATTATAGACTACTAATTAACTGTTACTAAAAGTACTATATTACCAACTATGTACTTACTTATTTATGATTAAACATTTTATTTATTTCGTTCATAAATGTATTATTAATCTAAGATGTCTAAAATGTCTTTATTATAAAAGTTTAGTATAGTAAACGCCACGAATGTTTGGGAGTGATTCATCGCTTGATGAAGTTAGAATCGACACGCGCGCTATCATTTTTACATTAAAAACGTAAATTTTTACCGCAGACGTAGGTTTTTAAAGGCCCGTCTAATCATCTGCCTGCGCTCCTCCTACTTATTCAAAAATGTTAGCGTGATTGACAAAGGCGATACTATATCGCGTTTCTTTGATTGATTCGTTTTTGTGTGTCAGTCCATTGGTGTGCTTGCAGTGCGACCAGTGGGGCATTCCATTTTATATTTATAACCAAATATATGTTTTGACAAGACTTTGACAGTTTAAACAACAAATTACAACAGATTATATATTGATTATTATATGACTTGAAACACACCACGGCACTGGAATTAAGTTTTATGTAACTTTGAACAGATTAGTTCACATGGTAGCGACCGATGAATCACTCCCAAACATTCGTGGCGTTTACTTTATCTCACACGAAAATGATGATCGACTGTAAATATCAAAATGTACAAACTAACAAAAAAACACAAATCACCGAACTTTCCGGCAAATCAGAAATATCTGAATTAATAATTATTTAAAAAGGATTTAAAAATAACTTGACGGATTACCAACATTTTGACAACTAGACCATAGATGGTAGTAAATATAGAGGCTGTCATGTCATCTTCATAATAAATTAGAAACCTGTACTTTAATGTCTTTTGCGCCGTCTGGCGATGCGGAAGAAACTAAACTTGTAGTTCCATAAAATTATCATTGAGTGTCTAGGGCCTGATAAGCACAAAGTTTATTTGAAGCTGACAGATACATTATCAAATTTATATAATTACTATCTAACTATACTGTGTTTTTTTTCTCAGGTAAGATTTCGACAGACGATGACAGAAGAAAAACAGATGACGTCCCATACCAATCTATTTATTTTACTAAAAAAAGTTTCTAATATTTTTTAAGTTAATTATGAATGGGTTTAAATATAAATCCGTCATGCGTCATGCGTCATGCGTCGTCTCTTGTTGTTTTTAACCAGTTTTATTGGTTTATTTCAAAAATGAGAGATCATATTTCAATTTTATTGGTTTGACGATGAACGGCAAACGGACGCCGATGCGTATGAACTTGGGTGGACATACATAACCGGTTCCCATAAAAGACTAACGGTACAAACAGAGTGGGGCATCTCGATGCGGTGCTCGCCGCTATGCATCCTACGCGCACGTTTTAAGCACTGTTTTAAAACGGCGAGTAAGTGCGCGTAGGAGCATCAAGGCGAGCATCGCATCAAGAAGCCTCACTATGTAGGTACCCTAACGTACCATCGATCGCCGTGAATCACCCTATACAATAAAAATAGAACAAAAAAGACAAAGACTTGACTAAAAATTATGAAAAATATTTGTTTAATTGGTATACATACTTTCTCCGTTTTTCCGCAGGTAATTTTATATCGTTCTGCATTCTTACATTAACCATATCACCTGGTGTCCCTACGAAGCCCCCAGCGCATCCTAGAAGTTATTTCTTTTAAGTAAAAGGAACCCTTCTATTTATATAGGGTGATTCACAGCGATGGCACGCTAGACGTTTATGGAGGACCAATGATAGAATTTTTTCGAAAATTTGGGTTTTGGCATCTTATAAAGGCCACTGCTCCATCTATCCAAAATATTTTCAGCGTTACAATGTTGCCGCATCATTAGAAAAGTGGTAGCACCTTTCTTATTTTAAATGGAACACCCGGTAGATTATTAAATTTTTGGAAACTACTTTCATATCTCATAATTTTTCTATTTTCCTAACCCATACCTGTCTCTAACATTTTTTGAGATAATAAATAAAACATGAGTAAAATTGACAAAAGCATGATCTTGAATAGGCACTGGTAAAAGCATGAATTGGACATTTTAAAATTTGTAATTTGGATTATAAATTAACGAAAGTCGGTATATTCGATCTGTCTAAACCAACTGATTGGATATTACACAGAGAGAGCAAAAATATTATTATTTTCCGTTTGTTATAAAATTGCTCAAATTTTTGTTATTTTAAATTCAACCCTATGAATATTATTCAAAAAATCAAAAGACTAATAAAATTGTTTTCAACGATATATCATGTTCCTTTACCTAAACCTTCCGGTTTCTTAAGTAGAGCTATTTAAAAATTAATAATAATTTTATTCTATTATTATAGTTTCATCTCAAGAATTTCGTTGACATCTTATAAAAGATTTTTTTTTAGAAATGTAGCACGTACACTCCAGAGAGAAACTAATAAATAAAGTGAGAGGGCTTATGGAATAGGGCATTTCGTAGACAAGTTTATTTTGTCACCGCGCTTCCCAGACGCGCATAGCGTTTAGGCGGTCAAAAAAGGAAGTTTTCAACTTTGCAAGTTAAACATTTGACAGGATTAATTATATTGTCAGTAGCTTTTTCTATTTCTTAGCTCTAGAAGGATATAAATAAGTTGATAATCGGAGTAATAAATTGATTTTGACTGAATGTGCCTGTTCTTTAAGCTTGTCAGACGAGAAGATTATTGTCATTATTGATTATTTCAGATTCCACGATTATTCGGCATTTTTGTTTTGTGGTTGAGATCCAGACAAAACGTTTCCTTTAAAGGTAAGTTTTATCTCGGTAATTATTTTAACATACCTAATAGTAATAGTGAGTGCACATAATAATCACCTGTTCACTCCCAACCAAGTTAGATAAAAAAGATATTGAAGTTTGCAGCCTTGAGATGGAGTATGGCAAGGAGTATGGAGTTAAATAAATTATTATATTCCTAAACAGTATTTCATTTATAGGTTTTAATGCTTTAAAGTCTAATAATACATTTTCGTTGTCAACAAAATAATCTAAAAAAACTACGAAGGTATCTTATTATAAACTTAAAAGATTAAGATTCGGTTCAAATATACAAATTTTAAATTTTTGGCGCCAGTATATAGGTATGAAAGCAACCTACTATATCGATAATGCGCTCATAGTTCGGGTTAGACGCCAAAGGTCGCGCCACTAACACAGTCTTCGAAAATTAACGTTGATCGGTCTCTCTCACTTTAGTTATTACTGTTCTCTATGGTACGCCCTAATTGGCACTTATAAAGTTTGAATATTTGTCATGGCAACGATTTTCTTTAAACGAAACAATAATTATAATAGAATTATTATTATCTCCTAAATGGCTTTACTGAAGAAACCAGAAGCTTCAGGCATAGGAACATGATATATCGTTGGAAAGCAGCAATTTTATTAGTCTCCTGATTTTTTAAATAATATGCATAGGGTTGAATTTATAATAACAAAGATTTGAACAATTTTATAACAAACGGAAATATTTTTTTGATCTCCCTGTTTGATACCCAATCGGCTGATTTGACAGGTCGAATATTGTCGACTTTCTTTAACCTATAAACACATCTTCTTTAACCTTTCAACATGCCGAATTTATGATTTAACCAACGCTTATTAAGATCATATATTTTTGTCAATTTTACACATATTTTATTTTTTATCTCGAAAACTATAAGAGATAGGTGTAGGTTAATATAACAGAAAAATTATGGAGGTATGAAAGTAGTTTGGGAAAATCTAATAATATACCGGGTGTTTTGACGGCCGTTTAAAATAGGTAACAAAGATGCTACCACTTTTAGTATGAAGCGGCAACACTGTAATGCTGAAAATAATTTAGACAGATGGAACAGGTCCTTTTATACAAAAATCCAAATTTTTAAAACAATCCTATTACGGGTGCTCCATAAACGTCTAACGTACCATGGCCGTGAATCACTCTGTATAGCATTATTTTGTATAGAGTTACACTATCGGACAAAAGTAGATCAACAAAGTTCATTTTTATTCATGTTTGATTAAAAAAAATTATTAGGTTGTGATTTTCGGCTATGTTTACTAACACATTATCCTTACACTATTACTGTAGTACTATTTTAGTACTAGTACTATTTTGATGTACTTTTAATCAGTTTAAAAATGGTAAATAATATTGATTATAAAAATTGATAAGAATGGGAGCGACAAAAGTAGAGCAACAAATTGTATTCAACAAATTTTATTGTGTCTTATTTCAACAAAAAATATTTAACACATTTAAGAACAATAATAATTGAAAGTCATACATTAGTAATTGATAGAATATACATTATTATTAATAACTTGCTGACAACGCCGCGGCATTGAAGCAATCAACTTCTAAATGACATTTTCGGGAAGATTTGTCCAAACTTCATTAATTTTATCTATCAAGGATTGTTTATTTGGAAACATTTGGGTACAAATACGACGCGCGACGTTCTACTTCTTTCCAGAGATTTTCGATGGGGTTAAGGTCTAGGGATTGTGCTGGCCATTGCAAAACTCGAACGTCATTTTCCCTAAACCAGGTTTTGGATCGCTGTCCTGTTGGAAAATAAAACACAGTGGCATTTCCCATTCTGCATAAGGAAGCATGACATTCTGCATGATATCCCTATAAACAAATCGGTCCATCGTGTCATTAATAAAGTGTATAGGGCCTATCCCATTCTATGAGAAACAACCCCATAAAAATACACTGCCTTTACCGTGTTTAATTGTAGGTGTTACGTATTTAGGATTACACCTTGTATTGACTGGTCGCCTCACACGTCTCATTCCATCAGAATTGAATATTTTGTAGCGCGTTTCATCACTGAACAAAACTTTTTTCCAGTCATTGATGGTCCAGTTTAAATGCCGACGTGCGAATGCCAACCTTGCTGCTCTATTTCTTTCCGAAACTAACGGCTTTTTGGCTGGACGTCTACTAAATAACTTTGCATCTACTAATCTTCTTTGTACTGTTCGTATACCAACCGTAATTTCTGGAATTTCGGCAATAATTCCATGTGCGAACTTCCAAGCATCGTTTTAAGCAATTCTTTTGATGCGTCTGTCGGTCATTACTGTTGTTTTCTTTGGCCTTCCCAATTTTGGCAACTTTTCTAAGTGTCCCCTGTCATTACACGATGAAATTATTTTAGATACACTGTACCGGGGTAACACAAACTGTCTTAAAATATCGGCTTGTTTGTTACCTTCCATGAATGCATTCACAACTCTTCGCTTCAAGTCTTTTGAATTTGGAATTCCTCTTGGCATGACTAATCCAGCATAGAAATGTTTAAAAAAAACATAAAATAAACCTCGCACAATTATTTTGGCCTTTACTTTTGCTAAAACCCTTCTTTGGAGTGAATTATTTGAATGTTGCTCTACTTTTGACGCATTACTATTAAGCATATAAAACTAAATGTCAAAATAAATTCATTTGTTTTGTTAGTAAAAATTCTTGTTGTCATGGATACTCATAGCCTACTTCGTAGTTTTTAAATTTATTGTATTTGTATACATTATCATGCATGTATAATTAAAAAATCGCGATTTGCAAATATTTCTTGAAGTGTTGCTCTACTTTTGTCCGATAGTGTATATCAATTGTAATTTAATTGAAATATATTTACCGGCGGCTGCGGCCACAGCTACCTTGCCTGCAAATGTATCCACACTATAATTTTGCTTGACTACCTCGTAAATTGCAAATCGTGTCGTCGAATATGTTAGTTGTCGAAGAAGTGAAGCTGATAAACCATTGTATAATGCTAAAAAGCCTAAAAATGCAAAATATTCGTATATTAGTAACGTTAACTTATAACTAGGGACTAATTGTCATTTTTATGATCTGTTATTATACGAAGATTATTAAATGAAGATCGCTGTCATTTTATATGTAAAATTATATGGAAAATGTCATCGGTCATCATTTCCAAGCCAACTGGACGCCATTTTTTTTTCGATCATACGGTATAAGAGGTGCCACAAAAATTACCGTTTAAAACCGTGCCGTTTTTAAATATCTATTAGGGGGTACTAAATTTAAGTATACAGGGTCTGTCATAAAGTCGTTTCACACAAAGTTTCGTTTTTTAAATGGAACCCCTTGTATATTATTGCATAAATCGGTTCTTTCTTCAATTCTAAGCAAGAATAGAGATACACAGACACTGTGTGTCTCAAACCAACCGTTTTCGAGTTATGGACTTTTAAAAATATCACTTAAACAATTCAATTTAATTAATTTCGATGTGTTCGGTTTCATTTAACGATTTTGATTTAATTTTCAAGTTAGCGTTTATAGATGTACCGGGTGTCCCACTAAGAATAGCTCTCGGCTGTATCTCGAAAAGTATTAGCCGTAGGGTTTACGGAAAAAAATATTTATAACTATAGGGGCTATGATAAATTGCTGGAAATTACTTTCAAGTTTGTAGAACGACCGCTAGAGGGCGCAACTGCAACAAAAAATATGAAAATGGAGTTTTGAAAAACGCCCCCTAGCGTCTACGTTCAAAAGCTTATTATTATTGTTTATATGGTGCAATATAGAGTAAGAAGCGCTCTTTTAAACGTGCCCTCGCTTGTTGGATTCCGATCATCCAGTCCAGAGTTATTAATATTTAAATAAAAACAGATTTAACCTTCCCCCACCACTTCATTTTGGTAGATAGGGGAAAATGGCTTTAACAAAAAATATTCAAAATTTATTGAAGATTATAAAGCTATTACTTATAGTACACCTTCTCTAGGCAAAATTGTGTAAAAACTCCATTTTCTTATTTTTTGTTGGAGTTGCGCCACCTAGCGGTCGTTCTACAAACTTGAAAATAATTTGCAGCAATTTCCATTAGCCTCTTTAGTTACAAATATTTTTTTCCGCAGCCCCTACGGCTAATACTTTCCGAGATAAAGCCGAGAGCTATTCTTAGTGGGACACCCTGTATAAAATGAGATTATATCAAGTCTGAAAATTACAAAATTTTAACATTTCAAAATGAAAACTTCATAATTCGGAAATTGTTGAATTTTGCTTAATATATAAACAAGGATATTATATAGTTTAGTATTACAAACATCGATTTTTGTAAAAGGTTAACCTCTAACAACTAAACAAATATGTATGTTTTTATACATATTTGTATCTGTCAACATCTAATAGTTAGTGTGGCATTGTGTGGCACCTCTAAAGTATGATATCCGGTAAGTGAGACCTTTATTTTGGTTTCCCCTCCAATTGTCCGATTTGTAGGTATTTGATATCTTCGTAGTATCTTTTTCTATGAGATATTATCGATTGGTACATCTCATATTCTCACCCAGAATGTCTTTCGCAAAAAAATATTTTTTTTATCACAAGTAATTACAATAGACATGGCCCTGATTAACCCATAATTCATAAAAGACCCTGTAGAATGTAGAATGTAGAATGGTATGGGAGGGGATTAATCACCGCGACCTTACAGATCTATTGTGTCCTCGTTCTTGAGTTTTAACCTATCGTGCAGTCTCGGGGCTTTAAATTGTGGCGAAATAAACACAAGGAAAACCAAATATTTACCTATTGGTGCAGAATTATCTAGCGTACACCTAGAAAATGAAGAGATAGAAGCCTGCAATGAGTACACCTACCTAGATTAGGTTAGGTTAGGTTGCTGGGGTTTGGGATCATGTTTGATCCCTCACTCGGAGGCCTTGGGCCCATTGCGATACCACTGTATTGTTGTACCCATAATCAAGGGTTGTACCAAACCTTCCTCTCATTCTTTCTTTGCGTTAAAGCACTTCCAGCTCTTTGCAAAGTTCCCGATGTCGCTGATGTTGGCTTCTGCTGTTTCCTCTAGTCCCTCCAAAAAACCTTGCCCTAAAGTTTTAAAGCGTCGGTATTCCAGTGCCAGACAGTGGCACAGCAGGTGTTCTAGAACATTGCAGCCATCCGATAGCCTTAAAAATCGTCGGATGTCTAGTTCCTCTGAAAACAAAACTACACCTACCTAGGAGTGATATTTGATACAACAGCTAAAGATGATAAAGAAATAAAAAAAAAGAATATCACAATCTAAAAGAATAATTGGCTGTCTGAATGGAGTATTTTGGAGTAATGAAATAGGAAAAAAATGAAAGATCAATATATACGAGACCCTGGTAAAGAGCAGTCTACTCTATGGTGCAGAGACTTGGCGAATAACGGAAGCCAACCGAAGAAAACTGGAAGCGGTAGAAATGGATGCCTATAGAAGAACCTTAGGAATTTCTCAAAGAGAGTCCGAAAGAAAGAAATCCGAGAGATAGGAATAGAGGGATTTTTGGCAATCGACATCGAACGCCAACAACTTATGTAGTACGGATATGTCCAGAGGATGGATGACACCCGACTTCCAACACAAATTATGCAATGGATACCCCAACATCGGAGAAAACGTGGAAGACCCAAGAAGACTTGGAAGGAGGGCGTAACAAGAGCAATGAGTGCCAGAAACCTAAGCGAGGGACAATTGAACGATCGTAGGACGTGGAAATTAGGCATCGGACAACGTCGCAAGATGTTTTAGACCTATATACTGTATTTTCTTCTAGTTTTCATCTAGTAAGAATTATCTTTAAAATGAATTAAATAAACCCGCCACCAAAAATATATGTAGACATTATTTTTAATACCCTACCTTGTTTTTTAACAATATGAACAGTCAACTGTACAAGGGACAATTTTCCTTCCTGATGGGTCTGAAGAAGGACCTTTAAAAGATCCAGTGGATGAGTGCAGCATGCCGCTCCTGCCGAGGCTAAGCCTCCAAAGTACCATCTTGCTAATCGTTTTTCCCTGAGAGATTTGTCTGTCATGGTTATGGTTTATGTTGAGTATTTTAATCTGGAACAAAATTTTTTTATAAATTATTTATCACAACGAGCAACCATATACAGAGAAAGAAATGTGTAGATTAGCTTGAATATATTTATTTATTTAAAAAAAAACATAAGGCTATTTTTATGGAATATATTTATAAATATAAAAAATAGAATTTTTGAAAAACACAAACTATAATGTGAAGGAAGCAACCTTTATGCGAATATATTCATTACGTAATAATAAAATTATCTTTAAAGATATGTAATCAGTAATTAAGTTTATCGTCATATTATCTGATTTTATTTAATATGATTAAATAACTTAATTCCCCCTTTTTATATTGCGGGAGGAAACTCTATTATCTATTATATTGTCGTATAGTATACCGTGTGCGTCTCAAAAGTGGCTCACCCCCTGTAAGTTTTTTATTTTTTCAGATAAAAAAACGAGATTTGGTACGTTACTATATGACATAAATTAGGATTAATTGACGTATTTAATTATTTTCGGTCATTTCCTGTCTCACCGGAAATGACTACAACTATTCATTTTTAAATGGCACCGTCGGTATTTTTTTACTTTATTCGATAGAAAATGACATTCTGAATAGAATGGCATATCATCTGTCAACCTTTGATATTCTTGCTTAATAAAAATTATATTTTCAATTTCAATCTAGAGTGCCATAGCTATACTAGAAACACACATTTTTAATCAAGGAGCCTTGGAAAAATAGGTTTGATCGTCTAATGTTTTTAGTGTCTTGTCCTGGCCGGTTAGAAGATGGCCAAATCGTATTTTTAATCATATCTCAATTTTCTCAAATGGGACGAGGGTGGCTCTTTAGCATATTTGGAAAAAGCATTTTTTACGAATAATTTGATACCACACACTTGGTATTTCGAGTCAAATTGTCGTTATGAACCGCATGTGATAATTTCAAATAAACCATATGCGAAAATGTCAAAAGTTGACATATGATATGTCATTTCTTTTCAGAGTGTTCGAGAGGTGTCTCACTATTGGAATTACATGTACATTTTCTTGGCAGTCGCTGGCAGTCATTGGCAGTCTTACGGCAGTCACCTATATAACTACATGGCAGTCATAGGCAGTATTCTTCGCAACCATTGGCAGTCGCTTGCCAGTAACATGATATTTTGGCAGTACATGTACATTTTTCACCCAAGTGAGACACCCCTCGAGAGTGTTATTTTCTATCGAATAAAGTAAAGAAATACCAAGGGCGCCATTTAAAAATCTAAAGTTGTAGTCATTTCCGGTGAAACAGGAAGTGATCGAAAACAATTGAATACCGTCAATTAATCCTAATTTATGTCATATACTAACACACCAACTTTCGTGTTTTTAACTAATAAAATAAAAAAGTTATAGGGGTGAGCCACTTTTGAGACGCACCCGGTATACTGAATTCATGATTTATTAAAATTAAGAATTCAACCATTCTGAATTAAAACCATTTATGCACAATGAATTTTAATATTGATACTCTAGAGCCTAAATCTTAAATGAAAACATAGATGTCATGATATGATTGATGTCCGATCCAGGGATGTTACAAAACTGTTTTTTTTTTTAATAAATTGAAGCTGATGCTATTGTTCTTTATAAGTAACAGCTTAAAATCAGAAGTTTTTGACGTTTTTGTTGATTTTACCGTTAAACAACCAAATTATGCAAAATATATAATTACCAAACATTTTTATATAGATAATAAAATTTTAATGAAATTCCAAGAAAAAATTCAGTAGTTCGGGTACTATATAAGCCTGGACTCGAGCCTGGTAAAATTTCATATCTATTATTTTTTCATTTGTCATTTTCATACTTATTATTTTTTGAAAGCACTTACTGTTGCCAACTCTGTTATTACCAAATAACAGTTATGAAATTAACAGACGTCACAAACATGTACAAGAAATAGTAAGTATACGTTGTACAATAGTTATAAAAAATAAACAAAAAAACTTAAAAATCAATAACGCACCACTAACCATACACAAACCATATAAAAAATATTTCCTGGTTTGTAGGAGACAGAATTAAAGTTATTTAGTAATTTTCATATAATCACAAAATTCAAATTCATTACATGGGTATATTATTTTACAGTGTTGTAGTAATAGATTCCAGTTTACCACAATATGTAATGCGATATCTGTCTTATTAGTTAATCTATAAATTGTATATCAAAATAAAAAACATTAGTGATATATTATATTATTTGGAAATTATGAAACTACTGTGGGATTAACGACCCAATAGACGTCATCGTGCTCACATAAATTTAAAAAAATAAAGTTTTTCAATTTGTGTAATAATTCTCTATACATATACAGGCTGTCAAAAAAATAATGTATCTAACTTCAGTGGGTGATTTTGAACTTATTTTGGGGACACTCTGACTCTGTAAAACTCTCTATATGTTTAAAAAATGCTCTAAATTAAGCTACATATGCTCACAAAATTTCATTTCAATACAAGGTGGAGCCTCCGCGTCGTATAAAGAGTCTTATGTGGCTACATTTTATTAAGTATTTCTTTAGATTAAATTTCGCATTCTGATAATAAATCCAGGGATCCCGATCCCGAAAATTGGAAACGTCAGAGGTCCGTATGCTCATCCTACTTCGGTGTGTGATTCTACAGATAAAAATAAAACAAAAAGTTCCTATATACGCCCTAAAATGCTTCCCAAAGAAGTTACAGCCCTCCAAAGGGTAAATAAAAATACTATATTTTGTTTATATAATTTATTTTAGGGGGGCCCAAATAAAAAGTAATGTAGAATATGCTTTTTATGGCGCCATTTTTAACCCAAAAGCCTAATACACTACTCACAACAATTATAGCATAAAGTAACAAAATAACGAAGATGTCATTTAAAAATCCAAAGTTGTAGTCATTTCCGGTGAAACAGGAAGTGACCGAAAACAATTGCATATGTCAATCAATCCTAATTTATGTCATATGAAATGACTTACCAAATCTCGTTTTTTCATCTTAAAAAATAAAAAAAAAAGTTATAGCAGGGGTTAGCCGCTTTTAAAACACACCCGTTATAAAAAAATCAGCTTGCTAAAACTATTCCCTATCATATCAGTTATTTTACTCTACAACGTCAAGTCATAACAGAGGGATATCTTGGTTAATATAATTAAGATAATAATAATCTTACTAAACCAATAAAAAAATTAAATAAAAATTCTATACGCCAATAAATAGGTATCGCATATATATTATAAGTAAACTTAGCAAATTAGCATATACCAGTATAAAAATATTATAAATAGATTATATTTATTCTATAATATCTACTAATAATTAAAGTTAAAACTAACCGTAAAATATATTTGCCAAATTTATAAATTAATATTTATAGATATAAAAAACAAATGCATATTATTAATATTATGTACCTTTCATTACTGGCGGTTAAATTTAGAAAAGCGCACTGTCACAAATCTATAAAAAACCCTTTATGCATGCTTTATGCTGCCAACATTTACAACTCGTAAAATATTTATGATTTTTGAACCATATAATTTGAAGACAGGTACTACATCCTACAGATACAATAATTTTCACTGTTTCTATTCATAGATATCACGTATATTCTCACACAAAACTGATAAGTATTAAAAAATTAAATATTTATTTAAAGCAAATTGTACTATTCCTGCCATAAATTTATAATCCATGCTAATTTCAACACTGATGTGCACTGTATGTACAGATGGTTGGAATTTGAATAATTTGAATGTTTCAATATTACCTGATATTACATAACTTATTATAACAGCTTTATTAACAGCATAACAATATTAATGATATTAATTAATAAAATATATTTATTTATTGTAATAATACTAATAATTAAAAATTAAAAAAAGTTAATTTAAACTATTCAAGTGATAATAGAAATTTTATAAAATGTGGTTTAAAATTATTTAAATTTAGTATAAATCCTTATTTATTATTAAAAAAAATCAAAATTATTGCCCCCTATCGTAATGCGATACACTTAAATTTTAAGATCATCCAATTTACCTGAGTTGTCAAGTGTCCTACTCTTGTTGATAATGACCGATTTAAAAATAAAAAAATAGCTCTTTTTACATAAAATGTTCGATCGTACCTGTACCGACGCACTTTTTAAACACAGTTAATTAATATTTCTGTATTTCTTCAAATGAACTGAACGATTTATTTGAAATATATCTGCAAAATCGAATGTCAAATATTTTTGATAACGTTTGGCAACATAGCACTACAGTGGTCCCGCTTCTCAATGTCATTATTTTTTTTAGGTTAAAGGGCAAAAACGTGTTTTTATAAATAATGCGTTATTTAAATTAAAGCACTTACCAAATGGTCTAAATTCCCTTCGTTTGGCACTGATTTTATGGCAGGTAAATTATATAAGGTAGAACTAAATAACTAATAAGTAATAGGAACTTTCGATGTTACGCGATGCCATTTTTACACTAAATTAATGTTGCATTGATAAGTACACATACAAATTCCAATGTTATTTATCAAGGTTACGTTAAACAGTCTTTGGTTAAACTTTGATGTTTTACTGAAGGGGGCAATGGTATTTTTTTAAATATTGCTTATATTTCGGTTACCTTGAACGCTGTATTCAGACTGTTTATTGATTTTTCTGTATGTAACATGGACCAATAAAATTTTCGGAGAAGCGTTAACCATATTTTAGGGCCAAAATTTTCAATTTAATTTACTGTAAATATCCTCAAAAAGTTATCATGACATTGAAAAGCTTTTTTGTCAATCAAAAATATCAAATTATACACGTCCAAAACATTTGGCATTGCATGATAATTAAACCAATCAAAGTTCAGTGAAGGTCATAGCACATCCTGTTTTTATTTATTAAATTTTGACACATTTTTCTTTCTTGCTTTTAGATGAGGGGAGAACCCCAGAATGGCTTCTCTGTCGGATCCACGAATTTCTAATCCTGTATTATCTTCATTAAAAATCCAGAGCAACGATAGAATTATCTTTATTAGAGAAAATGCCTTAGCCGACTCTAATTTTATTATTACTCATTTACTAAAACAGTTTTTCTATGAAAAAAGTAGAGTATGCTTTCTGACTTTACACAATACTTTGGATCATTATCAGAATGTTGGAAAGAAACTTGGGTACGATTTGAAAGAAGCTATTGAATGTAACAATATTAAAATAGTTGATCCGCTGGCTGATATAGTTGAAGGTATCGGAAAAGAAATAGAGGTAAAATTAACATAAGCTCTTACATAGACGCAAGACACAAAAACTACAAGCCAATTTTGTACCAGCAAGACTTCATACTTCATTATAATTTAAATACCAATTAGAAAGATTCTAAATATAGAGAGTGATTTTCCAATAACACTTTTTTCAGAAATTGATCCCACACTTCGATTAGTATCATAAATTAAGCTCTTTTTTATTTAAAAAAAATTACATGGTATGTCCAGAATGCAGGGTTGTACATCATATACAACACAAAGTATTGTAGCTAAACGATTAGATTTTTGCAAATTGCAGTTTTGGGTTGTTTGAAGGACTATTAGAACTACAATTTAAAAATAAGTTTACAAGATACAGAGTTTCCCAAATAAGTAAAAAAATATTATAGTTGTACTTTTTTAAATGGAACAACCTGTATATTACTCTATTTTTAGATTCTACAATTGAAATAAAAGTTACATTAATTATGGTTTATCACACTTAAACCTTACCGTTTTTGAAATATTTTCAATTTTGTGAAATTGCAGTAAAAAATTTAAGGCTTCATTTCTCCAAGGGTATCAAAGTTTTTAATACTAAATATTTACTGAAGATTATATTGTTGCCATAATAAGAATTATATTACCTTATACAGAGTGTCCAAAAATTTATATTAAATAATTACTAGCTTTAAAGCGCAATAACTTGTTTAATTTAAATGGAACACCTTCTATATTTTACGTGTATCAGATGCATAATTTAATTATCTATCAAATTGTATTATACCATTTTTCACAAGCATCTCTTCAAGTTTTCAAAGAAAATGCATTTTCTAAAGTTTTCGTCGAAAATGCATTTTCTTCGAAAACTTGAAGAGATAGATAAAAGATAGTATAGTACAATTTGATAGACAATTAAATTGTGCATCTGATTCTCGTAAAATATACAGGGTGTTTTATTTAAATTAAACAAGTTATTGCGGTTTAAAGCTAGTAATTATTTAATATAAATTTTAGACACTCTGTATAAGGTAGTATTTTGTTTATTATTGCAACACAATATCTGATCAATAAATAAACTCATTAAATATTTAGTATTAAAAACTTTGATACCCCCTGGAGAAATGAAGCCTTAACATTTTTACTGCGATTTCATCAAATAGAAAATATTTCAAAAACGGTAAGGTTTAAGTGTGATAAACCTTAATCAAATTTACCTTTATTTCAATCGTAGAATCTAAAAATAGAATAATATACAGGGTGTTCCATTTAAAAAATACAACAACTATAATATTTTTTTACTTACTATAGACACTCTGTATCTGGTAAAAATATTTTTAAATTGTAGCTCTAATAGTCCTTCAACGAACCCAAAACTTACAATTTATAAAAATAATCGTTTAGATACAATAATCCGTGTCAACCCGTGTCCCGAGAACAACCCTGTATATAATACATGATACATCATTGTATCATCAACAGTTTTTTTTTAATTGCAATCTTTATGTTATATCATACTGTACCAAATTTCAAATTGATTCCAATTTGATTGCTGACAATACCCTAAATGAAACTGGAAATTGTTTTGAGCATTTATTATTAGAAGCGGCTCGTGAATTATTTTTGTTCTTCAATTTTTAGTACATAAAGGCTGTCCTTTTTCATACTAGAAATGACGTCATTATTTGATCATGTAAAGTGTAACTTAAAAATATCATCGTGCACTCTATTATACAGGGTGTCAGAAAAATAACTCACCTGATATCACGTGATATGAAGTAAAACAGATAAAATTTAAAAAACGTTCTTATGAACATATGCCCTAAAATGCTTCCCTGCGAAGTTACAGCCCTTCATAGTATTTATAGCCATCACATGAAATTACTTATCCATTGGGATAAAAAGTACCTACCACCTACCCTAATGGAACTGGAATCTTTCGGAACTGTTACGGATGTTTGTACTATCGCCATTCGCTTTGGCATTAAAATGTGTGTAAGAGTACCAAATTTGAAGAAAAACGTTTTACCAATGTTATACTTAAAAATAAAATATATTATTTTGTTTACGTTTTTGATGGCGTATGTTCATAGGAACTTTTTGTTTCATTTTGCCCTGTAAGGACCAGTAGCCACTGATATTTACTTTGTCAGAAATTAGCCTATACTCCTGTCTAAGGTTTCCAATTTTCGGGATCGGGATCCCGTTTTGAAATACCGGGATAAGAACCTATAATCCCGGAATCCCTGGATTTATTATCGGAATGAGAAATTTAATCTAAAGAGATACTTAATAAAATGTAGCCACATACATACAGGGTGGCGCCTCTTATACGACGCGGAGGCTCCGAGAAGAACGACACCTTGTATTGAAATGAAATTTTGTGAGCATATGTAGTTTATTTTAGAGCATTTTTTAAACATATAGAGAGTTTTACAGAGTGTCCACAAAATAAGTTACACATCAAAGTTGTATTTTTTAACGAAACAACCTATATATTAACTGATTTTTGGATTCTAGCAGAAAAATAATGATGAGTTTCATTAGAGAAGTATATGACTAACATGTAAGGTTTTTGACATATTTAATGTTTTCTGAAAATGAAGAACAAATTTTAAATTTCAATAAAAACTACCTAAATTGGCATTTACCTAGTATAGCCTAATATGTAATTAAAATAACTATTGTTCTTTAAATAAAACTAAAACTTGACCGAAAAAGTTATACGGGGTGAGACAAAATTAATATTGAACATTGGTCAGCTTTAAAAGCAAGTTACACTTTTATTTTAAATGGAACACCCAGTATTTTATTCAGATATGCGGTGAAGAAGAAAGGAAGCATTTTGAGCATTTGATTTCATCTAGCTAATTTTTGTCACGTAATTATACGTTTATAACTAGTTTTAATTCTATTATAACAATTAAAATATGTTTTAAACGTGTCTTATTTTAAAAATATTTTAGTTTTTGTTAAATTAACGAAAGGTATATCACAGTCTCTAAAGATTTTATCAATTAATATGATCTACTGATGCAAAATCATCAAAATGAAAATATCTAGAAAAATATTCGTCGAAGGGGTAGGCTATTAACCTTAATAGTATTTTGAAGATAAATATATGAATTTTCCATTGAATATCGGAATAATATACTGGGTTTTCTATTTAAAATAAAGGGGTAACTGCTTTTAAAAGTGACCATTGTTCAATATTAATTTTGTCCCACCCTGTATAACTTTAAGGATCAAATTTTAATTTGGTTTCATATATAATGGTTATTTTAATTAACTAAATATCGGACTATACAGGGTAAATTACAACTTAGGTAAGTGTTGTTGAAATTTAAAAAGTATTCTTCATTTTCACAAAATGTGAAATATGTCAAAAACCGTACATTTTAGGGATATTATACCTTTTTCTAGAATCCGAAAATCAATTAATATATAGGGTGTTCCATTACTAAAAATCCAACTTTGATACGTAACTTTTTTGGGGGACACCCTGTAGATTTTTCTATATTTTTAAAAAATGCTCTAAATTAACCTACATCTGCTCCCAAAATTTCACTTTGATATAAATTACCGTTCTCCTTGAAGTCTCCCTCCGAGTCGTATGAGAGGTGTCACCCTGTATATCAAAAAGAAATTGAGAAAAAAGCGTTATTAAATTAAACAAAACAAAGTAATATTCATATTTAGCAAGTAAAAAAATACCAATTCTTGTTGCAAAAAAAAAGAAAATAGGTATAGCAAACATTGACGTTCTGCTTAGTATAAATAAAATGACCTTTGAAATAATTCAAAAAATATTTTCAACAAATTCTCCACACTATAAATGTCATTTTTATAGGTATAAAAATGAAAAATTTGGACTTACGTCATTTGATCTACATTTTCAGGATAGTCATAAAAAAATTGAGCTGTCATTTGAAAAATAAATGTCAGTGAAGTCATATCTTAAATTTGGGACTGTATAAAATTTCTTGCATCAAAAAGAGGGCAATTTAAAAAACTAACCTACATATCCAAGCATATTTCAAAAAAAATATCTCGATTTACTCAATTTATTCCAAATTACACCAATTCAGCAGAATTTTACAGCATTAGGTATAATTCAGCAGAATTTTACACCACAGAATTTTAGCATTAGGTATAATGCTGGTGCAAAATAACATTGTGATTTAAGCTGTCATATACAGGGTGGTCCGAATTGTATTTTTCCGGAAACATCGACAGCATATTCTGTAGATAAAAATAAGTAAACAAGTTTATCTACATTTATCTCCTAAATTGCTTCGTTTCGGAGATCAGGGTGTGGAAATTTCAATTTTATTTCGATTTTTTCCAAATAATTTATAAATTAACATCAATATTTGAATGAGAATTGGTGCCTTGGTGTTTGTTGACATGAGAAATTTCGATGTCAATATGACTTCTACTTATAGGAGGCTCCATCTACATGTTTTTTAACTGTTTTGAAGAGTAATAACTTTTCGTCCGTACCTGTATAAAACGACTGAATGAAAAAATATACAGTTGTGACATTTTTTACGTAGAAAAGGGCTCTTAGTAAAATTCGCTACGAGCAACCATTTTCAAGATATTTGGAGTCGAAATAGTCAATACATGTCATTCTTAACAAAAAATAAACATGTTGACTAGATATTATTGGACTGAAATTATAAATTTGAGATTTTTTTTTAATTTTGATGAGACAGAGGGGTTTTTTTGATGAGAGATAGAGGAGTTTATAGAGCGCGTCAACAGCGAGGGTTTTTTAGCGCTCAATAATAAAGCTTTAGGTAATGTGAAGTTATTTTAAATTATTAGAAATTAAAGTTTTTTTGTTATGTTGATGCTGTCTAAGAATTCCATAACTTTATTAATCTTCGAAATGTTAAAAGGCGCGAAAATATTCTCATAGGTAACAACATTAAAGAATCAAGACCTATTGGAGGCAACAGGTAAGCATTCAAAAAGAATGTGTCTCATTGACATGGGGGAGAAATTGGATACTATGGGATATTAGGAATGTTTTGTTGGGAGGAAAATAGGTGGTATCTTATATTAATTGAACGTTGGTATTTAGGATGAACAGTACCTATACCTTTCACTGTCTTGTAAGTTGAAGAACTTGCCATTTTGATAATAGATGATAATAGTTTCTGTTGAACCTTTGGCAACAAAAACATTTCAAATTTATTTTTCACTCTAATAACTATCTAATCAACATGTTTAATTTTTGTCCATGTATTGACTATTTTGATTCCAAATATCATGAGAACTGTTGCTCGTAATGATTTTTACCAAGAGACTTTTTTACGCAAAACACGGCGCAAAATTTTTTTTTTCCAGTCACTAGTTAATGCAGGTACGGATGAAAATTTATTGATATTCGAGAGAGTTAAAAAAACATGTAGGTGGCACCCACTGGGCAAATAGGAGCCATATTGATATCAAAATCGCATTTTTATATTAAAAAACACCCAGATATCCAAATATCGATGTTAGTTCAAACATTATTTGTAAAAAATCGAAATAAAAATGAAACTTCTACACCCTGTATCTCGGAAACGAAGCATTTTTAGACGTGACTGTATACGATTATTTATAATTTTAATTTTTTATAATTTCAAAATACAGGGTATATTCTGCAGATAAAAATTAGTAATGAAGTTCGTTTAAAGTATGTCCTAGAATTATTAGTTTCAGAGATACAGTTTTTTTGTAGTTTTATATTATTTAAGTTTTATATTTATTTCAATTTTTTCCAAATAATTTATGAAATAACTTCAATATTTGAATGAAAATTGGTGTCTGTGAGTTTTTTGATACGAGAAATTTGATTTTGATGTCAATATGTCTTCTATTTGTAGGGGGCGCCACCTACATTTGTTTTTAACTGGTTTGAAGAGTAATAACTTTTCGTCCGTACCTGTATAAAGCTACTGAGTAAAAAAATATACATTTACGACGATTTTTACGTAAAAAGGTCTTTTGATAAAAATCGCTATGAGTAATGGTTCTCGAGATATTTGGAATCGAAATTATCCATACCAGTCGTCATTGACATAAATTAAAAATAGCTAAATAGTTATTAGACTCAAATCATAAATTTGAAATGTTTTTCTGCCAATGTTTTATGATTAATTTAAAAAAATTATAATTTCTGAAATTTATTATTTCAGTCAAATACCTATCTACTCAACGTGTTTATCTTTTGTCAATAATGACATGAATTGACTGTTTCCATTCTAAATATCTTGAGAACGGTTGCTCGTAGCGATTTTTACCAAGAGACATTTTTTACGTAAAAAGTCACGGAAATGTATATTTTTTCACTCAGTAGTTTTATACAGGTACGGACGAAAAGTTATTACTCTTCAAAACAGTTAAAACATATGTAGGTCGCGCCCCCTACAAATAGGAATCATATTGACATTAAAATCAAATTCATCACGCCAAAAAACTCCCAGACACCAATTTTCATGCAAATATTGACGTTACTTCAGAAATTATCGGGAAAAAATCGAAATAAAAATGAAATTTCTACACCGGCCTGTATCTCCGAAACTAAGCATTTTAGAAGATACATTTACACGAACTTTTTTACTTATTTTTATCTGCTGAATATGCTGCCGAAGTTTCCGGAATACAGTTCGGATTTATAATTTTTAACTCTATGGTTCGGACCACCCTGTATATGAAAACTTCATTAATATAATAAAAATTTCCGAAATATTCATTAATATATATTTTGTTATAGGAAAGTTTTGAAGAGTCACAAATGCTAAAGTGTTTGTTTCTCTCAATAAAGAAACATATCGACAACTATTGCTCTTTGAAGGACTGTCCAGTATACCTAGTGATCGATGACGTTAGCCATTTTCTAGACTTAGCAATAGATTTGTCCCAGATAATTAGCTTTATCAACTACTGCATTAATTTAACGAACAATGATAATATTTCTGTTGTGATTAATGCACATGTTGGATCAAAGAATGACGAAATTGTAGCCAAAAGTGTTCAGCATATATGCGATGTTTTTGTTGAAATATCGCAATTAAAAACCGGTAAAAGTACAGACATAACTGGGTTAATGACCATACAAAGAGGTGATAGTATAAACAATTATCACTACAGGACATTTGACAGAGGTGTCAAGACTTTCCACCCTGGAGAAACCATATACAACTTGTATAAATAAGCCTTAACATATTGGTTCTTTATATTTTTACAAAAGAACTTTTGCAAAAAATGTTAATTTTAAATATTTTAAACAACATGTTTGGAGAATTCGTGTTTAGTTAAAATAAAGTTTTACATATACATATGTGATTTATTTAAAAAGAGACATAAATATCAATTTTAGTTCCAATAATGTTCTATCAAAATTTAATTTGTCTTGTTTATGGGGTATTCACAATGAAAACGATCTCAGAGTTAATTACTATCTTTCAATACTCTTCATACCTTACACAAAATTTATATTTGCTTAATGGAAAATCAAATGTATTAAAAAGAGATAAAAGTTGGGTTGATACATTTCTTCTATTTTGCCGTATTTTGCATCAAAAGTTCAAACCGCACAAGTAGGCGTTTATGGAAAATATTGCATCTAGGGTGGAACCTTATTTTTCATAATTAGTTACTCATTTTACTACAGATGTAATAGATTATATTTAGCTTAGATATATTATCTTCATTTTAGTAGTATATATGAAAGTTTTTAAAATAGTTTTTTTTCTACACAAATTTACAAACGTAAAAACCGGCAACACCGTATGCCGCTTTTGATTTTGTCTCTCTGGCTGTCAACCGGTCAATTATATTATTCTGTCTTACACGTTAAAATCCAGCCTACACTTCTAAAATTACCAAATCTATTAAATTAATATGTAAAGTGGAAATAGGTTTCTTGCAATTTTACGTATATGTTACGGTTAAGGTTCGAAATAAAGTTAATCTCAATATTACCCGGTTAATCTCGAGAATAACACAAAACAATCCAAACCAAACCCAAACATTAACTTGGTAATATCGAAATTAACCGGATATCGAATTTTAACCGTAACATATAAATAAATGATATAATTCTTGCCGTGAACTGCTATGAAAAATTCCACATTATGTTTGTCATTTCCGAAAATCAACCAACCTCTCACGAGCGGTTTCTAGGCTCGTGATGAAGGGTATAGGCGCAGAAACCGGTTGTGAGAGGTTGGTTTATTTTCATAAATGACAAACAACGTGGACCAATTTTTCATAGCCTGAGTGAAAATATCAACAGGCGGTTTACGCCATTAAACGTGTCTCATAAATCGAGCCCATGACATCTATGTCGGTTTTGCTCTATATAGTCAGGAAATAGAGGTTTTCTCTGTTAAAACAGACCAATTTTGACCACCCTGTACAGGAAGCCATGCTTGAAAGACATCTGAGAAATGACGACTGGTGGGACCGGAATTTATGGTCGAGGAGCGGGAAACGACACTAGTCGTAAAAATACCCGCATGTATTTATATATATTTAAATTAATATGTATTATCACAGACTATAAGCCTTGTTTATACAAGGCTATAAGCAGTGCTATAAGTCTACAGTTGCAAACAGTGTTAGAATTCTATTTTGTATGTTTTAACTGGTTGGAACTTTTTATTTTTGTAGATAGCATCATTATAACATTCATTAAAAAAACAAGTTATAAGGTTTTAAGCCACGTTTTTATGCATTACCATGTCATAAGCTGTCAAATATCAATTAATAAAACTATTAATCTATACTAATATATAAAATCCTTAAGTGACTGACATAATGATTAATCACGATCCTGCTCAAACCACTCAACGTAAGAAGCTCAGTTTTGGCATACAGGTTGATTCTAGGGTGTAGAGGTTCGATAAAAAGGGATTTTTCGAAATTCCAGTTTCAAGAGGGTGAAACCACCCCTCAAATATGTATTACAATATTTTTTTATTTAAAAAACGGTCAAGTTTCCGAAAAAACACTTAAACACGTATATTTCATTTTGTTTTTTTACATATTTTAAGATTTTTTAAAAATGTATACAGGGTGTTACGAAAAATCTGGTCATTGATTAATCACGATCCTGTTTAAAGCGCTTGACGTAAAAAGCTGATTTTTGGAAAACAGATTTACTTTAGGGTAGATAAGTAGAGGTTCGATAAGAAGGGAATTTTCGAAACTCGAATTCTAAGGGGGTGAAACTATCCTTCAAATATTAAAATATTTTTTATTTAAAAACCGGTGAGTTTTTCGGAAAAACTCTTAAACACGTATATTTTATTTTGTTTATTATATTTATTATTTTTATTATATTTTAAGATTTTTTATAAATTTATACAGGGTGTTTCATAAAATATGACCATTGAGTAATCACGTTCTGCTTAAACTGCTTGACGTTTAAAGCTGATTTTTGGCAAACGGATTGACTGTGGGGTGTAGTAAAATACAAAGTAAGTCAAATTCCAACGAGATGAAACTACCCCTCAAATATTACCAAGTTATATAATAATATCGCCATATTGTTTTCTCATGCTGATATAAATGTGAGAAAATTTTATCCAGTTTGTATGTTAATGGAAATTCTTGCTTTGCTTTATCATCACCATTACAAATGATTAATTCGACGCGAACGAAGTCGCTGGTACACGCTAGTAAATTATATATTTTTTTTATTGGGACGCTTTATATGCATATTGGAAAAAGTGTAGTAAATAGTAAATAACACCATTTCTTTCTGATTTCAAAAATGTGTCCAAGGCAACTTTATGACTTCATGTTGGCTTAAAAGTGACGCTTGAAAAAAATATGCTATCTAAAGGCGCCAAAGAAATATACTAAAACATGATTTCATGCAAAGTCTAAATGTTTGTAAAGTTGCTGTCTACCTAAAACATCATTATTTTGCAATAGTTGTTTGCAAAGCGATTTCAACGTGTTTATTTGTTTCTTAAGTAAATGTTTGTGTATATCGTAAAAAGAAGAAAAAATACATCCTGTTAAAACAATAAACAAAGTTGCCATCTATCCTTTATGAACCACCGTCGAACTAACGTCGATATGGTTGAAAACTGGTGTAGTGGCGTTTACAAAAAAAATGTGTGTGCACATGTGCGCATATTTGAAGTCAAACTTCTTACTAACATCTATTAAATTGAAGGATTTGAAGGACATGTTTGAAAAAGTATAGTTTGAAATATTGAAAAAGTAATAAATTAAAAATTAATAAATAATTTAATTCACTTTCACAAAATTTGTATTAAAATGACCGTCTGAGGACTCCATTCGGGTACCTCTATCCACGAGCCTAGTTTGGTTCCAATCCCCCCATAATTAAAAAAAAATACTGATGATTTCGTAAATATTTTGGAGGCATCGAAACGTCGCGTCGTGGGCGTCATCCTGTAGCCCGTCTCCAATTATGCCGAAATCGACCCACAGTTTTCGTCAATATCAAATCCTTAGTCCCACCCTGATGAAGATATAAATGAAACGTCGTATGCAGGGTAGGACCGTATGCACCGTCGCTATGTGAACCCTCCTACCAAAATTGGTTGGAGGAGGGACATCAACTTTTGACCTTTCTTACGTCAAAACTAACTGTCACAGTGACACGTGTCGTACACGGTTAAGTTGACTAGCTTATACGTCCCACTAGTCAACTCGCATACCCAACAATGTTGCCTTTTGTTGTTCCTTAATTTCGCAGTTCTGCACACGCATAAACGATAATTGGTCGGGTATTTCGTGTGCATTCTAAACAAAAATAACTTACCCCAGAGATTAACCAACGCAATCAAAACACGCCTACGACGTTTTTGATTGCTATTACACATTTTGCAGCTATTTAAAAAAAATAAAAACAGCTGTAAGAAAATAAAAAAGTTCTATATATGTGGGACACGAACCTGGGACCTTTCGATCCCGAAGCAACGGCCTCACCAATGGATCCACAGCTGCTCTTGCGAACTTGGCTATTATAGCTAGGCGTTATTTTCAGCCGTTCTTAAAACCGTGCATATGCACAGGCGACAGCAAACGGCAACATTGTTGGGTATGCGAGTTGACTATGGGACGTAGAAGCCAAGATACAAGAACGGTTAAATAAGATATTACGCATGTAGTGGGCAGAGCTTAACAGAAAATTACTATCCGAGTGACGTCATGCGCGCGGAGAGCCGATTTGCCACCGCCAAGGATCTTATCTTCCGTTATTGTATCATGCGTAGAAGCTATTGTTAAGTTTGCCTTGGTCCAATCTATTGACAAACGAAATTTTATTTAAATATGTCCTTGCCGCTTTTCCTCTCGTGTGTCGTGTCACGGCCTTGAATTTTTACTCCCAGAGCGCGTAAAGAAGTTTCACTTTTATAGTTTATGTTTCTCATTTGGTGGAAAGTTGTTCCATAATATGTGCCTTTTCTCACAGAAACTTCTATAAAACTTAAGTTTTTAGATGCTATTTCATCTACAAAATTAAGAAGATTTCGTATATTGAGAATTTTGTTTATTATTAAATACTTTATATACATGTTAATGACAAAAAATTCTAAATAGTAACTTTACAAAATATGACATAAGAAGTAATTCTTAAGACACAGGCTATACTTTAAAACGGGAAGTTAGATTCCTGTCAAAATGTTTAACGTAAGTTCTATTTCATTAACTCAATATAATACATATTTTAATTTATAAATATAACAATCACAAATATATTAAAAATAATTGTAAAAAATGTATTTGGGCACAATGTTACAAAGTTTTTCTTTAAAATTCAATTCAACAATATCAATTTCATTTAATACAGTACGCGAAATATATCATTTATATAAATCGGCATTTTAAACCATTGCTAGTAATAAAAAAATAAACAGTAAAAATAAATATAAATTTATAAAATAAAAACAATCACAATAACAATGCAGAAACTTAAAAAGGTCGAATAATAATTTTAATGTTTAGTTTTCCTAATTTTACATAAGACTTACAACAAAACTTTTGCTGTCCTAATTTTTAATACTATATTTTCACAAGTAAATTCTAATTAAGCAGTAGTTGAAATCGAAATTTACCTTCAACATTGCTTTACTTTGTTACCCATAATGAATGAAATATATCCCAGGAACTTTATTACTAAACGAGAAGTAATTTATAGAAATTAGATAACAAAATAGAGCAATTTAGTTTAAAATTTATTTATGACCCTATAGTATTATGGTTTGTTTTGCAACTTCATACAATTAAAAACTATATAATTCCAACTAAGGTCTGTCCAGCGAGAGATTTGACGATTTTGACGGACGACATT